TACACAGACGCTATCCTCCCCAAATCCTCACTCGACTTTACTTTTGGAGAAACCGTTCAAAATCTCAAGAGTAGGTTTGGGGAACGCACCGCCTTATTCAGTACACGGTACCAATGCCTCAAACTCGCAATAGGGGAGTTTGACGATTTCCTTGATCATCTGGCAGTGGTCAATCGAGAGTGCGAGAAAAGTCAATTCAAATCAATGACTGATGACCAGCTCAAAGCTCTCATTCTCATATGCAGCCTTCAAATCCCTAAATACACGGATCTGCGAACGCGGCTGCTACACCTGATTGATCAAAATCCCTCTGTGACGCTGGGCAATATTCGCGATGAATACCTACACTGGAGAAGCGTGCTGCATGACTCCAGAATGGTCCAAGCTGGCGGCCGCAGTGCTCCTGAAGTCAATACGGTCCAACGTTTCCAAAAACCACCTCCCACTTCTAGCACTCCCAGCCCTCGTCAGTCGAAATCAAACGGAGAATCAGCCGACACAAATCATCGAAGGAGATCAAGGGACACTCCTCCTTCCGCGTGTTAGCACTGTGGAGCCTGGCATTATGTCAAGTTCTGCCCTTACAAACAGCATCGATGCCAGCGATGCAAAGCTACGGGCAATAAGGACGGATACTGCAAATCATCCCCGTCTAACGTGAGTGGACGGCACCCTCACCTCCACCCAAAGAAAAGGTCAAAAGCCAAACCAGCCAGCCCAGCCATCTCATCTCTCAGCCGACGAGTCACCGCCGAAGACACTTCACAGCAGCAGAGGATGTATACAACCGTCCTCATCAATGGTCATCCAGTTCGTCTGCAGCTAAACACCGCCTCGGACGTTACCATCATCTCGGAAACTCAATGACGCTCCATCGGAAGTCCTCCACTCAGGGACACCTCTGGAACGGCAATCAGTGCCTACGGCAGTGAAATTCACTTCCGCGGCCAAATGCAATGCTGTGTCCTTCCGCGGAACAACCTTCAGCGGAACGTGTTATGTCCTCAACGCCAATCGGAACCTTCGTGAGAGCCAATCCGCTCACGAGTTTTCCGTCTCCATTGCAGCGCCACGGAACGGACCAACGGGAGAACAGGACGACCAGGACAAGGATATATAAAGCCCCTGCTTTCCTTCATACGAGTAACCAGACTGTAGCGCTTTCTGTGTCTAGTTAAGTTATTCGTGTTACCTCTTAGCCTTGTTCTTACCACGGGCCCGAAATCTACAAATGGTGGCAGCAAGACGTCCTCGGACCTCGACTTTTCGGCAACCGACAATGCTTTCTGACAAGGCGCACCTTTATTCAAGTCTTCGATACAGCCTCCCGAATTTGAGCTTAGCGATAACATTGAGTGATGGCTTTGTGTAATGGACGATGCTCTGAGATGTGTTCCCCTCAATTACGGTCGTATCGCCTACTGAGGAACAGACCAACGAGATAACGGGACAACCAGACCAAGGATATGTGAAACCCTGTTTTCCCCCTTACGCCCGACCTATTTGTGACTAGATTGTGGCTTGTTTCAGCCTGCATTCAAGTACTCCCTTTTGCCTTTCTCTCTTCTTGACTATACCATGGGCCCGAAGCGTACAATTGGTGGCAGCGGTACCGTCTCAAAGACGGAAACGGACCCGTACAGAGAACAAATCTAGTGGAGTAGAGACAATTTCCACCCTTAACCACCCGAAGTTAATGTCGATGATGATTTTGAGGCTTGGGGGGACAAAATGGAGCGGTTCCTGCGATACGAAGAACCAGGATCTCGATCACACATGGTGATGGGAAACCTGGCTGTCCCTGCCAGGCGGATTGCCATAATGCCTGGCTGCTCCGACGACACTCCGTATGAACAGTTACTTGAAAAGTTATCTACGCTGTTCGCGGAGGACGCCGAGAGCATCTTGCAGAAACTTGTTAGTCGACGATATCGGTCTGGTGAACGTGTCGTTGACTATATGGCCGAAATTCATGATCTGGTCCAAAGGACTTACCCAGGTTCGATGCTTAGCGAATCTATATTAACGCACTTGCTATTCTGTACACACACTTTTCGTCAAGTCCTCGAATAAACGGTTGACTCTCCTTCCTTCCACCATCTTTAACTTTGTCGTGCAGTCAGTGAGATATGGCATCTCAACAAATTGGTGACCCCGTCAGAATCAACCTTCGACCAATGTGGCCAGCATAAGTGTGAAAACACCCCCATTCTGGCCAAACGCGGCTCCTGGTTGGTTTGCAATTCTGGACGCACAATTGTTCTCCGCTAACACTGTCAGTCAACACGCCAAATATTCGCATTTAGTTTCGGCCCTGACTAGCGAATTGGCAAGCGACTTATCGGATGTGCTGCTCCACCCTGACAAGCAAGCCCCTTACGATCACTTGAAAGCCGAAATCCTCAAACACACGGAAATTTCAACTTTCGATCGCGTAGAACAGCTTATGTCTGGCGACGAATTAAGAGCCTTAAAGCCAACCCAGATTCTGAGAAAGATGCGGCAGCTCTCGAGCGATGATCCTATGCATGGAGACTTCTGGAAAGCGTTTTTTTTCGGTTAAACGACTACCAAACGCTGTCCAACCAATTCTGGCCCCATTTGTCGGAGTGTCCACCATCGAGCAGTTAGCAGATACAGCCGACCTGATAGTGGAGACGACTAAAGCGACACAGGTGTCGGAAATTAACGCTGAACCCCGAAGAGAGTTGAACGTTTCTGCACCAGACAAAACATCCGAAGAACTTGCCAAAATGAAGAACGCTATAGTCAAGATCGAAGCGGCAATTGATGCCATGTCAATCAGACCTTCCCGAGACAGAGGCTATAACCCCCCTTTTAGGCGGAATCGTTCACGGTCGTTTCGCGCAGGTACTCTTCTCGATCGCCGTCTCGACAGCTTTGATGGTATCATGAAACCTTCGGAAGAGCGGCTTTTAAATGCAGACCTCCGTGTAGATATGCTGTTTCAAACCAGAACAACCAGTCGGGAAACGAAAACGCCCGGCAGTAGTAGCGTCCACTGCCGTTGGGCACCCAAACAGCCGCCTGTTTTTGATCGATTCGTCAACGGGTATGCGATTCTTGATTGACTCGAGCTGACATATCTGTGATGCCCCCAAGTCCCTTTGAAAAACGAGCCCCTAACCCTTTCATGGTTTTCTCAGCGGCTAATGGTTCCGCAATTTCTACTTACGGACAAAAATCTCTTACACTGGACTTGGGACTTCGACGGCAATTTCGTTGGGTTTTCACCGTCGCAACCGTCGCCCACCCTATCATAGGCGCGGATTTCCTTGGACACTCCGGTCTACTCGGCGACCTCAAGAACAAGCGTCTAATCGATCCCCTCACGAGCCTAAAGGTCAGGTGCCCCTTGCGAGCTACGTCAGCCGTTTCCCCAGGTTACAACGTTACAAAAGAGCGATGGATAGCTTTACTTCGGAAATACCCAGACTTGATCAGCCCAACTCATAGGCAGACCGAAATTTGACACTCGGTCACGCACAAAATCTTAACAAACGGTCGCCCAGTCAACGCCCGAGCTCGTCGTCTTTCTTCCACTAGATACTCGACGGCTAAACGAGAATTCGAGCACATGTTGCAGCTTGGGATAGTCCGACGTTCAGATGGCGACTGGTCATCAGCACTACACATGGTCCCCAAGAAAGTTGACGGTGAGGGGAGCCCATGTGATGATCATCGTGCTTTAAACGCCATCACGACTCCTGATCGATATCCTATACCAAATCTTCACCATTTCTCGTCAAATCTTCATGGAAAGTCTGTGTTTTCGAGGCTAGATTTGGTGCGGGCCTACCATCAGATTCCGCTAGAACCCTCCGATATCCCCAAGACAGCTATCGTAACGCCGTTCGGGTCATTCGAATTCGTGAAAATGCCTTTCGGCCTAAGAAACGCAACTCAAACCTTTCAGCGTTTCATCCATCACGTGTTAGCTGGTCTGGATTTTGTGTTTTCGTATATCGATGATGTCCTCATTGCAAGTGAGAATCGAGAGGAGCACATGAAGCACCTCGACGATGTATTCCAACGCCTCAATGAACACGGCTTGATCATCAACCCATCGAAGAGTGTGTTCGGCGTTCCTGAACTCGAATTTATCGGACACACAGTCTCTGCTTCAGGCCTAAGGCCTACCGACAGCAGTAAGGTGAAGGAAATTCGCGAATTCCAGAAACCCAAGTCTACCAATCAACTGCGACGTTTTTTGGACATGGTTAATTTTTACCGTCGATTTCTTTCTAACGCGGCTCAGACCCTGCTACCTCTGACCAACATACTTAAAGGAAGTTCGAAGAAGCTAATCACGACGGACGAGACACGTCAAGCTTTCAAGGTTACAAAGGAAGTCCTAGCAAAAGCAACCACACTAGTTTATCAACGATCAGATGCACCTCTGGCTCTCCTAACCGACGCGTCCCTGTTGGCAGCTGGTGCGGTCTTACAGCAAACCATCAACGGGTCAGCCCAGCCATTGGCTTATTTTTCAGCCAAGCTCAACGAAGCTCAAAAGCGTTATAGCACTTTCGGTCGTGAGCTTCTGGCAATCTACCTTGCAGTCAAGCATTTCAGCTACCTGCTTGAGGGTCGGCAATTCACGATCTACACCGACCACAAACCGCTGACCTTTGCCAACCGTTGGGGCTCGGATCGGTTATCACCGAGAGAAGCAAGACATTTGGATTACATTTTACAGTTTTCAGCCGACATTCGACACGTCAAGGGTGAGGACAATGCGGTAGCCGACGCACTATCGCGTTCGCACATCGACGCTGTAAATACAGGTACGCATGTGAATTTTGAGGATATGGCAATAGCCCAGGAATCGGATGAAGAATTGCAAGGGTTCCGAAGACAAAACACAGCCTTAAAGCTGGTTGAAGCTTCGCTTCCTTCCTCCACACGTACAATCGTCTGCGACATTTCAACAGATGTGCATCGTTCTTTCGTACCTAAGACAATGCGACGCCAAGTGTTCCAAGCCCTTCATGGACTTTCTCATCCTGGTCAACGGGCAACACGGAAACTGATCTCGAGTCGTTTTGTTTGGTCTGCTATGAATCGCGATGTTACGCAGTGGGCTAGAAATTGCGTAAGTTGTCAATATCCAAGGTGAACAAACACAGCAAGGCTCCTCTTGGACGCTTTAACGTTCCCGACGCTAGGTTCGATCACGTGCACGTTGACATTGTGTTGGGGATCCACGATTCCCCAAGATTGGTTTCTGATTTTATTTACATTAATTTATTAACATTTTTTGTTACGCTTTTAC